AAACAAAACCTTAGAGGGAAAAATAAAAGGCAAAACCGATTTTTAAAACAATTTAATATATTCCACATTAACGCCACATGATGTAACACAAAAAGTAGGTAAACATCAGTTATAAAAAAAACATTAGAAATGTATACAGTATCCTTTAAGCTAGGCTCACGTTTTTCTGCAGAAATAAGTACCGTATGATCGAGAAAAAACGGCGTCAACGATGGCTATGAAATGAAGGTCGCTGTCATTTTATATGTAAATTTATATGGGAAATGTCATTGATCGTCATTTCTCAGCCAACTGGACGCCGTTTTTTTTCGATCATACGGTATTTCAATTCAACACATTCACTATCACAATAACTACACTAACTATATCAACTGGTTAAGCTCCGCATTATGAATATTCTTCACCCGGTCCTATTTTCAAAGTGAAGTAATGTAATTTTGATCCTGATTTATAAACAATATTATTTCAATGAAACTTTTGCTTTTAATTTTCTTGCCATGCTGGTAATTGTTTTGGATTTGTATTAACGTTTTCAGGGTTAGAGTTCAGTATAGGTAGTTTGATGTTGAAACCCTTTCTAACACAATCTCAGCTTCAGGCTTCAGGTTTACATACTATATATTCATACGCTATAGAAAAACTATGGGGAAAAAGTGTTTATCATAAACCTTACTTTTTGCTTTGATAAGGATATGGCCTGCAACTTTAGGCTTCTATAATCACTACCAAAATCTTGCTTTAAAATATTTGAACACACGCCTCCTATTTCCTTTTAATTTCTGGAAATTTGTAAGAATTCATGGTGAACACTACTAATAATATCCGTGTTTCTTATATCTTTGAAAACTCCACTGGGCAGTCTGGGCTAGCATTTAAAATAAATATCAAAACTAAGGGCTTCTATTTTCTATGTTATTCACAAGTTAAATTTTTGGTTTGTACCGATTTCGCATTTCTAGGCTTTCAGGTTCTAATTTTGCAAGATAACTTTACATTTTAAAGCATTTTAAGTGTATATTTCCAACAAAAACAAATTGCGTTGACTTTTGTTTACAATTTAAAATACAAATAGCGAGGGGAGGAGCCGAGATTCGATAACTTCCAATCGGGACCATTCGGTCTACCGTTCGCTTGCGTTCGGATTTTCGATAACTTGGGCTTTCGAGAGTTTATGGTTCTCCCGTAAAAGTTACTATAAGTGCTACATATTTTAATGCTAAAAAAGTGTCGATAAATTTATCAGGGACGTGCATATGGGTTATCACTGGAATATTTTTCAAAAAAAAACATGTGCGCCACTGACTTTATTCCTTTTAATATCGAAATTGTATAGGCCGTTTAATACCAATTAAAAGTTATCTCTTGATATTTTGTCGAATTCGGCCTCCTTGATGAGATAAATACAACTTTATTAATCACAATTAATAAAATCAAAATAAAATTAATAAATTATATATTTTACCTAATTTATTATTAAATATTATTACTATTAGTTATTATTCCTATTAGTCCAACCTACAGCAATTTCAAATAAAAAAATAATGGTATTTAAGATACTTCCAAAAAACCTAATTTTAAAAACTTTTAACATCCAGGAACTTTTTTTCATATTTTTTTATGAGAAATCAATGAGTACTTATTTAAAGCTTTCGCAAGTTAATGATATTAATTTTTTTAAAGGTTGCTATACGCTATTCATGCTAAGCGATACGCCCTCTATGCCCGGATTTTCGAACTATCGAATGGGCCATTCCTTTTATTGATTTGCATTTTTTAGGTTTGGAAATCGAAGCTGACGACTCTTATTTCCCGTTTATACTTTGTGTTTTATGTTGTGCTTTTCGTTTGAAATTAAATAAATATGAATCATTATTGCTGTGTGCCAAAGTGTAATTCTTGGGCAAAGAAAAACCCCGAGATTCGTTTCCAATGGAAGGATTGTCGAAAGTATTGTGGAAACCAAACTTGGAAATAAAGAGCTGGTGGATTGAAGAAAAATTTGGATTAAGGCATTGAAAAATGTTGACATTATGTGAACTTATAACAACTTATTACATTATTATTAACGATTTATTGGGCAGTGATATTTTGACCTGTTTGGTACTTATTTTTTTTTTAAATAGTATAAATGTATTTTTTTTGCATAGTTATTTTTAGTCATTCTAAACTCTAAATATCCTCTCTAAACAAAATACAAATAAATAGCAACCAAACTCAAAAATAAAACTAAAAATGTTTATTTTACCTGACACATTTTAAAAGAACGGCCGAAACATGTTTGCATTTACCACTGTTACCGGCTTTACAAGAACAATGCATTTCTTTAATCTTTACAGTGGCTTCCTCAGTGGTTAAAGTTCCCTTAATTTCATATGGATCCGAATTAATGGCACTGGATTGTAAACACAAGCCATAAACATTAATCCAGTCGCTTGTGAATTCGGTTTTTCCAACCAAAATTAAATGCCCTGCATTAAGGACATTTTGCCCTTCAACCACACATTTGGAATGCGTGGATCCGTCCAAATACCGCATATATTCCAAAATGCTCAATCGTATGATAAAAACCGAAGTCTTTTAACAAATAAAAAATGTTTACAAATCACAAAACTGTCCAAAACCAACTATAAAAACTCGAAAACAGACACCAAACACACAACGCAAACCACAAGAAAACAATTAAATAAATAGCGGAATGGCCCATAGATTAGTACGAGTTGTCGCCGCTATGGCGCTGCGATCTTAATTTGAATTGCCTATTAGACTTGGATCAGGGTAAATTAATAAAATTGCGTTTATCTCATCAAGGAGGCCGAATTCGACAAAATATCAAGAGATAACTTTTAATTGCTATTAAATGGCCTATATAATTTTGATATTAAAAGAAAAAGTCAGTGGCGCACATATTTTTTTTTTGAAAAATATTCCAGTGATAACCCATATGCACGTCCCTGGTGAATATGTCGACACATTTTTAGCTTTAAAATATGTCGTATCCATCTGAAAGCGCTGTTAATGCAATGCATCAACTAGGTTTAAAGCTTAATTTCATGCATCCGAATTTCCGACTTTTTCTGCGAAAAGATGACAAAAATAGGACTTATACAAAATTAAGCAATAAATTCGTAGAATAATTCTATAATGTCATTTTTTCACAGAAAACGAATATATGAAAACTAGGTTGTAATCATTGAAAATAAAATGATAAATTGACACCATTTCATTTCCATGTCCAATCATTCATAGGAATAAAAAAAACAGCACATTAGGATTTGGTGTAATATTAGTTGCATACTTTGAATAAAAAGATTAAGGAAGGAGCATAATGCATGCATAATGCTATGCATGTATTCATGCGTGGTAAACGGAGGTGGGGCCCTAGGGTGGGGATCCTTGACAGTTCTGTTTGACGATTCATTTGACACATTTGAATTTAATTTGAAATTTTGTGTATTTGTCAGCGTTTACTGAGGTTATTTTATGTTATTTATTATTTATTCTACAACTGGTAGTTGTTTAGAGATAGTATATCTACAAGGAAATTGTGGCAAAACTTAAATTAACAGTGACACTATTGCGATTTATCGAAAACGACTGTAAGAGTTGGTTGTGTAGCATGCGCTAGATCTCGGTCAAAAATCGAAGGAAATAATGGAATAACTTTTCACTATATAATATAAATACCTGTCTTAAACCGATCATTTGTGAAATTCACTTAGAATTAACTAATTATGTGATAGTGGTAATCTCGACCGTACTGCTAAATTTAATGTGGAACAATATCGGGTAGCGATCTGTAGATTCAATTTAAACTAATTTGTTTTTAAACTCGATATTTCGTTAATTTTTATTAATTTCTTCAGGAGTAAAACATTTAGTCATTGAATATAATCCTATTATAACACGAACATTTTACAACTTGCACAAGACAAAACATTTCAATCTAAAATATATGTCAACAATTAACAAACCAAGTACAGTGGACAGAAACAGAATCAGTACTACTTTTCTTTTTGATTTTATTTACTACTTGTCAAAGATTAGATGTCAAGTAATATAGATACTACCAACATAATTTATTGACAACGTAAAATAAAACAACAAATTATTGAGTCTACCCTCCATCATATTTTTACGCGTCTTGAATAAAATTAGAACGGCACTGATAAACCAAAATTTAAACTGACCATTTTTGTTCCCCATCGCGCTCGACCTAAGTTTTTTTATATACTCCTTCCTTAAGAGTCTATTACGCTGTACTGTTCGGGTCGCTCTCAGGGGCCGGGTAAGGCGGGTGTGTGGCTGAAGGAAATATATATTATATTTCAGAAATCTGCCTAAAGCTTAGCCCGATCCTGTCGTGTTAAGCCACGCCCAACATTAAAAACACACGCGCTTTGATTAAAGCTTGATTAAGGTTTGCAGAGCTTCAGCATTTGTCATAAAATAGCGAGCAATTTGTTACAAAACCATATAAATTATATATCACTGTAATCATAAAACAACAATCTATTTCTGTATTGTAATAGAATTTTAAATTATGTCTTCATTTCGAGAAAATTTAGTCCAAATATAAGGAATATTTTGTTGATGTTTGACCATCAAAATCTTAAAAATAAAGAAGTTATCTAAAAATATGCTACAATACGGATATAGTATAATCCTTTATCTTTAATTTCCTTCTTCATTTGTGTAAAAATACCTTATTTTGCTACTTTTTCGGACTAGTAAAATGGACTCTTTAATATTTTTATTCAAAAGTAGCATACTTTCTAATATTATACCAATCAATTCTGAATTACAAAAATATTTGCAAAGGAAAATTCTTAGTGATCAACGGTCTAGTCTCCACTATAGTTTGTCCAAGGAGTCGGAATTAAAAAACGACAGCAAACAAAATTTCACTATGAAGTAAAGTGGCAGACGCAACTGTCACTGTCATGGATCCTCTCGTTGGACCGACTATAATTTTACTCTAAATAAGGTACATATGATCTTACCAAGTTGGATTGAACCCATGATCGTGGTCGTTTGGATCTTCTTGTAAGTGATCTCACCCCCCACCCCCACCCTGCGATGACCGATCTTCCTCTCCCTGTCCTTTTCTCTTTCCGCCCTCGCCCTCGCCGCATTTGATATGGATTTCTGATCGCCGGCCTGCGAAACGATCAACAAAAATCATGAATTTCGTTTGAGATAACTCGACTTCGTGTATGTGTGTATATCTCATTATTAACTTTACAACTATTCGGTTTATCTCGGTGCGGCGTGCGAATTCGAGGACGACCTCGATTAGCACGACTGTTACCTCATCACTAGATTCATTATTAGGAGATAATGATGTTAATAAAATTGGAAATCCTATTGACTATTTATCTTCAAAGAATTGAATGACGTCTTGCGCTGCAGAAAGTACGAAGATATTGGGTTGAACTATTTTTAATTAGTAATAAAATATCAATCTAAATTGATCCATTTTTAACAGGGTTTACTTTTTGGGCTAGAATAGGATTTCCAATTTTTGGGATTGGGGTCCCGTTTTGAAATTCTGGAATCCCGGGATTGACTATCAGAATGAAAAATTTAATCTAAATAAATACTTAATAAAAATGGGCTACATACAGGGTGAGTTTTCTACGAAGTTCCCTATGGGTATCTTGGAAACTACTGGACCTAGAGAGTTGGTTAAATGCTGGTAAAGAATTGGATTTTGCGAGGCCGAAACATATGCGCCTTTCGCATTTTTGAAAAAGTTTATGGCTTACTAGATATTTGGAGAAAATGAAAAAAAAATTTCGGCTATTTTAAAAATGCTCCTTTATTATATTATACTGTATATTAGATAAAAAGTTTTCAGATAAAAGTTCTAGAAAATCACATCCTTAATGAGATTGTTTTCCCCGTTTTTTTTCTAAAGCCTGTTATTTTTGACATATATGACACAAACATATATTTTTTAAATGGAAACCATAGTTGGTCAGGACTTCATAAAAACGCCATTTTTTAAGCTTTGGAGCGATATATATTTTTCCGAAAATTTACCGACTAGCCAATTCTGATCTTTTTTAAACAATTTCATTTAGCCATGAAAAAGTGCAAACCTCGTTGGTCTCAGAGATGTCAAACTGTCACATCTAATCAATAAGATTTTATCGAGACACAACTAAATTGTAAATATATATTTTTTATGGCCAACTATGGTTTCCATTTAAAAAACATATATTTGTGTCATATGTCAAAAATGACAGGCTTTAGAAAAAAAAGGGGAGGGAATTTCTTTAAGGATGTGATTATAATATCTACAACTTTTATCTGAAAACTTTTTATCTAAAATACCTAGATAATAATAGAATTAGGGAGCATTTTTAAAACAGTCGAAATTCGTTGTTTTTTGAAAATATCTAGCAAACCATAGACTTTAACCTTAGAAAACTGATTTTTTTTACTTTATTTGACCGACTCTGTAGCTCCAGTAGTTTCCGAGATACCCATAGAGAACGTCGTAGAAAATTCACCCTGTATACAAAAAAGAAAATGAGAAAAGAGCTTTATTAAAACATAGACAAAACAAAGTCAACACAACATTCATATTTAGTAAGTAAAAAAATACAATTCTTGTTGCAAAAAAATAAAATATAGCAAACACGGAAATTTAACTTTTAGATATTGACGTTCTGCTTAGTATAAATATGGTCTTTGAAAGACTATACAGGGTGGTCCAAACTGTATTCCGGAAATTTCGGTCAGCATATTCTGCAGATAAAAATAAGTAAGAACGTTCGTATTTTTGTATAAATGTATGCCCTAAAATGCTTAGTTTCGGAGATTCATGGTGTAGAAGTTTCATTTTTATTTCGATTTTTTCCAAATAATTTCTGAAGTAACATCAATATTTAGATGAAAATTGGTGTCAGGGAGTTTTTTGACATGATAAATTTGATTTTAATGTCAATATGACTCCTACTTGTAAAGGGCACCACCTACTTATTTTTTAACTGGTTTGGAGGGTAATAACTTTTTGACCGTACCTGTATAAAACTACTGTCTAAAAAATATACATTTACGACGTTTTTTACGTAAAAAAGGTCTCTTGGTAAAAATCGCTAAGAGTAATGGTTCTCGGGATATTTGGAATTGAATTTATGAATACTTATCGTCATTGACATAAATTAAATATGTTGACTAAATAGTTATTAGACTGAAATCATAAATTTAAAACGCTTTTGTGCCAAAAGTTCAACAGAAGCTGCTACTCGACATCATGTTTATTTTTTCTCAATAATGACATGTATTGATTATTTCCATTCTAAATATCTTGAGAACGATTGCTCGTAGCGATTTTTACCGAGAGATATTTTTTACGTAAAAAAATCATGGAAATGTATATTTCTTCACGCAGTAGTTTTATACAGGTACGGACGAAAAGTTATTACTCTTCAAAACAGTTAAAACTCATGTAAGTGGCGCCCTCTACAAATAGGAGTCATATTGACATCAAAATCAAATTTCTCATGTCAAAAACTCCCAGACACAAATTTTCATCTAAATATTGATGTTACTTCAGAAAATATTTGGAAAAAATCGAAATAAAAATGAAACTTCTACACCCTGTATCTCCGAAACTAAGCATTTTAGGACATCCATTTATACGAACTTTTTTTACTTATTTTTATCTTCAGAATAGGCCGCCGAAGTTTCCGGAATACAGTTCGGACCACCCTGTATAGTGTATAAAGTGAAATAATTTTATATTGGGAATTTAAACAGAGCCCCAGTCTCGACAACTTTTTATAAACAGGGCTTCAATGGAGGTCAAAATGCGAATGTAGGTACGCAGAATCCCATATAAGCGATCGTAAGTCGACTGGCTGTCTAGTAAATAGACTGTGATATTAGATAGCATATTTTTTTCTGATTTCAAAAATATATGTAATTCCTTCTCTTTTTATTAGATAAATCGAAATTTGATAAAAACTGAAAATAAAAACAAAACTGGAATACTTTGCTTCAATGCACTAACGACGTGGTTAATGTATGTAGTGTATGGATGTAGGTTACATTAGTGACACTCCTCGATTTTCGCATTCCGTTGTATGATTATAAACAAATACAATCAAGCAGGCCATTAAATTGGCATTTAATTTTAACTTTCTTATATTTCTTAAATTGTGCTTAAAAATATGTTTGTTTTTTCATAAACTGATAATAGTGATGATTGCTGAAATACTCATATTATTTTTCTTAATATAGTTTTTTATTGATTGTTGGTTGATTTAACTAGCAGCTAACGCTGAGACTATTAATAAAAAATAATTAAAACAAGGAATTGGTCACGTATTTATCACACAAGTTAATCAATTACTTCCTTGTTAAAAATAGATAAAATGTTGACATAAAACATATATTACAATTAGTAAATCGTTAAAATGCATTTTCATTTGAATAAGAAATAAGAAACCAGTCTCATCTTTAATATCTTAGATTATATTGCTCTTGAGTTTGATACTATAGTTACTAATATATATACTTTATACTTATACTATACTATATACTTAATAAAAAATGTCGTTTGATAAAAGCGAGGGGTAAACACCTGACCAAAATGTGTACACCAGAAATCCACTTTTGATAAATAAATCCAAGGAAATCCACAGAAATACACAGAAATCCAAAGAAATCTAAAGAAATCCACAGAAATCCAAGAAAATCCACAGAAATACACAGAAATCCAAAGAAATCTAAAAAAATCCAAAGATATCCAAAAAATATTAGATTGCGTTTTAAATAGTAATATAATAATATAAAGTCGATATAATATATTTCAGGAGATTTCTATATGACATATGACGAAAGTAATAAAAAAAATTGTTTGTTTTTTATGTGAATAAACGTCTATTTCACTTACTATTAATATTATGCGGTGATTAGTATTAGTTTAAACGTCAAAATGAAATATAAAGTAATAGACTTGGGACCATTTAAGGGCTGCGGTTTGACAGAATTTGTTATATAGTAAGTCATTAATACAAAGGTCTGTTTGAATGAACAAATCGGCAACTTTAATTGGCCCCAATTATACTACTTTATACTGTATACTGAAATAGTTTTATTTCATATTTAACAAATAAGGATATTTTTTATAGTAGACTAGTAGGACACAACGAATATAATAACAAAAAAAGGAGAATAAAAACAACAGGACCTTTATATTAATGACTTACTATATGACAAATTCTGTCAAACTGCAGCCTTAAATGGTCCCAAGTCTATTACTTTTTATTTCATTTTGACGTTTAAACATACTAATCACCGCATAATATTAATAGTAAGTGAAATAGACGTTTATTCACATAAAAAACTCACTCTCAATTTGTTTTATTACTTTCGTCATATGTCATATAGAAATCTCCTGAAATATTATCGACTTTATATTATTATATTACTATTTAAAATGCAATCTAATATTTTTTGGATTTCTGTGGATTTCTTTAGATTTCTTTGGATTTCTATGTATTTCTGCGGATTTCTTTGGATTTCTGCGGATTTCTTTGGATTTCTATGTATTTCTGTGGATTTCCTGGGATTTCTGTATATTTCTTTAGATTTCTTTGGATTTCTGTGGATTTCCTTGGATTTATTTATCAAAAGTGGATTTCTGGTGTACGCATTTGGGTCAGGAAATCTACTAACGACATCTAGAGAAATCCACAGATATCTAATAGACATCCACATAAATCCACGGAAATCCATTGAAATCCAAAGAAATCTACGGAAATCCACAGACATCCATGGAAATCCACAGACATCCATGGGAATCCACGGAAATCCATATAGGTGTACACTAGAAATCCACAGGTGTTTACCCCTCGGATAAAAGTGTAAACAAATAAAAAAGGTAAATAAAACTCTTCATTTTCAATATTTTATAAATAAAATAGAATCCCCCCTATAAAATAAATTATTTTATCAAAAAATAAGAATTGCCATTAACTATATTGCCTTACAATATAACATATTTTACTGATATATCCTGAACATATTGAACGTGCTTAAAAACACAAATTAACTTGGGTAATTTGCATAATTGGAACACCATTTAAAATATATTATGAATCTAAAGGTCAATTTCACAATGACCTTCCAATATAGTTGTGTTTACTATTAATTTTCTGGAACGATACTACTTTTACATTTTCAAATTCATAGATAAGACATACGTAGACTAAGACATACGAGTATTAACAAATTGACTTCCTATGAATTTATATATTTTTACTTAATTTATTTTGCAAACTTTTATTTAAAAAAACTTGTATACTGCCTAGACGTATCAATCATTATAAAAAATGTTTTTGTTCAAATACAGTTCAATTACTACCAATTAAACTAATTGGAATGCTAGTTGTATATTACATTTATATCAACATGTTTTGAATTTAATCATACATATTTCTGTCTCTCGAAAACCCTCTAGCTACCTATTTGAATACTATGCATTCATTCTACAGACCTCCGTGATGACTGCACAAATATATACTTGCAGTGTTGTAATTACTATTAATAAGTATCTCCTAACAAGCTAAATAGTAAACAAAATATAAAGCTGAAAATGACTTTTTTGAAAAATATTTAACAAAAATATAAATGAATTGTCCCTAATCCCGAATAATTAATAACAATATATCCGTTAATACTACTACTTATAGACCTTCTGTCTCTGTATAATTTTAAGTAATTCTTTATAGAAACTAAATAATAATCGATTGTTATGTTACATTACAAATATTCTATGTGAAAATAATAATGATATTAAAACAATATCCAGGCTTAAGTAAATATTTACTTACATCTTGAAGACTTTTGTTTAACACTGAAATGTTGTCCTTGTCTGAAATAATAAAAAAAACATATATGTATGATGAGCAAATTCAAGGTAGTATTAATAACAAGAATGTCCACTGACTCATAATATAAAAAAGTAATTAGTTATTGGAAAGTTATATAGCAGTCAATATAGCCTTTGTGTAAATAGTACAAAGAACATCATTAAAGAAATTAGTTGATAAATTCAAAATTTAAAATTATCTAGTCTAAGTTGATACAAAAAGATGTAAAGCTTAAGTAGTAGTTGGTTTATTTGAAATACTTTTAAGTGGAACATAAAGTAAGAAAACATACCTTCAGCTTCGCCTTCTGTTTCAGCTTCATCAATTCCAGGAGGTTCCTTGGAATTGTTCATACTCAATGCTGAATTTGATTGTAAAACTTCAATACTTTCTATAGTGTCGCCCGTGGCCATTTTCCTACAGTATCAACACACTAAATCGTAAACTAACACACCCGTAAGACAACCCTTTAAACTTTATTTGCATATTTTTCTAGAAAGCAGAAAAATTATGGACAAATTTTCAGAAACTGTCAGAGAAATCAAGGAAATTTTCGATTTTTGACATAAACAATTTCATTGTCAAATTTCTACCCCCACCTAATTATCAGTGGCAGGGTGGTGATCTGGTGATCACGTGAATTATTATAACTTTATTATATAGCCAACAGATGGAACCAATGGGGCATAAATCATATAGATCATATATAATATAAAAATATTATCTATTTTATTAAAAATATTTTCTGTGGTGATCTGAAATCTCTTAAGTAGTCCAAATGTACCAGTGTCAAAATTCTAACCTCAATTGAATTCCATTTCAATGCATTTTTAAAAAAATGTAATTTTGAATTCTATTGTTGTCTTAAGTATTATACGATCAAGAATAGGTAAATCCAAAAGGTGAGATGGTTATTTTATGTCGATTTGGTACAAGTTTTATAAAACTTAACAACCGTACCATTTATAAGAATACCATTCCAAAAATAAATGGATCAAAATTATGTTCTACTCAAGGTAATAAGTAATAAAACTATTGTTTTACATAGACTTAATAATGTTAACAGTACAATTTTAAAATATATCGTTTATTTAATAAGTTTCAAGACAAGCAAATGACAATACCTTTGTACCTTTTATGACAATGATTCAGAATCGAAGAGCTCAAGCATCAAGAAGTATTTTAGTACAAGTGCAGTCTGCTAAATCTTACAATGAACTGTATTCTTACTGCAGTACTATTGGAGAAGTTAAAGATATGCTACACTATAGTGATAATTCAGAGCAGATGGTAAATTAAAACAAATATTTTTTTGTGAATAATTTTTTTTATTATTTCTTTTTAGCATTTTATAATTGTAGAATTTAAAAATGAACTTGATGTCAATAAGATATTATCCGTTAGTAGTCATATTCAGGAGAACCAGACAGTACCTGTTCAGTCACCATTTTTATGGTTTCGAGCTCCGAATAACAAATTAGGTAAACTTAAACAGAATAAAACAGCAAAATTATTGGTTGAGAATGGCACCAGTGTAATTAGTGAAGAAAATTTGAAAACAGCTCTAAGTCATTGCACTTCAGTAAGAAATTGTCACCTCTGTTTTATTGTAATTTACCAACAAGACCAAAGGTTTCAGCTCAAATTCAAGAGTTATATATGTTAACAAAACTAAATGATGTAGGCCAAAGATTAAGATTTATAACAGCGAAACAAATTGAAAGTACTGTAAGTGGTCTCTTTCCAAATGTATGTGCTTATCCATTTGGATCCTCTGTAAATGGCTTTGGTAAAATGGACTGTGATTTAGATTTGGTTTTAAAATTGACAGGTCATAAGGTATATGAACAATTTAATATATCCTAAAAAATACTATCTATATTTTAATAGGAAAATGAAAATAGTAGATTAATTTATCATTGCAAAGCTGGTTCAGGGTCTGATAGGAACATGAACCAAAAAAACATGGAGGTATTAGGTGATTTCATTCATTTATTTTTACCAGGATGTAGTCATGTAAGAAGAATATTACAAGCTCGAATACCTATTCTAAAATACCATCAACAATTGACAAACATTGAGTGTGACCTCTCTATGACCACCATGTATTTATATTTTATTTTATTAAATTTGATCTCACACCAGTTTTGTTTTATAGGAGTGGTGTATATATGTCCGATTTCTTGTACTTAATGGGAGAGATAGATAACAGGGTGAGACCCTTAATATTTGTAATAAGAAAATGGGCAAAAGAGGTATTTTTAACTAATAATTCTCCAGGGAAATGGATATCAAACTTTTCTTTGACATTGCTAGCTCTGGCTTTTCTACAAAGACCATTACATTCTCCACCTATCCTGCCAACATTTAATACCCTAGTAAAACATGCAGGTAATTTTTCTACCCTTAAAACTATAGAAAAAATATATTTTTTCTATTTGTAGCACCTAGTGATCATTTTATCACTGAAGATGGAATTAACTGTACATTTTTAAGAGACATCACAAAGCTCAAATTCAAAAAGGAAAATGATAAATCCTTGGAAAGTCTCCTCTTTGAATTTTTTGAGTTCTATTCACAGTTTGATTTTGAAAATAAGGCTATATGTCTAAATGAAGCTGCTTCAATATCAAAACCAGAACACAGTGCTCTTTATATTGTAAATCCTTTAGAAAGGGGTTTGAATGTTAGTAAAAATGTCAGTTATGATGAACTAGAAAGGTTTAAAATAGAAGTAAGAAATGCAGCTTGGCTGTTGGAGTCACAAGAAAGTAGTCAGACGTATAAAGGACTACTTGGTATATTCCAAAATAAATATAATGCTAAGTACAAATTAAACTTTGCTGCTTCGACAAAGCACAATAGATTGATGGATGTGTCCGATTTGTTTGAAGGTGAAAATAATGAATCTGGAGAAAGTCATATTAATTTTAAGAACAAACAGATTGAGAAACAAGTATCAGATATTAGAAAAAAGACTAAAGAGAATATAAAAGCTTTGGAAGTAACACAAAAACAAAAGAAAAGTAAAAAAATATAATTTTATAAAATATATTAAATAAAGTTTACAAAAAAATGTTTGTTTTTACTACAGACATATTGGTTCTATTCAGGGTTGGGTAACGACATGTAGAATATTAATTTTCTACGTGCATGTCAAAAAAAGCGTAGAAAATGTCGAATATTAAGTAGAAAATGTAAAAAATCCAAGCATATGTTCAAATAATATAACTTCTGACAAGTAGTGTCCGTTTGGGTTTAACGCAGAAGTGTTTAGAAAAAATAACTATTTTATTTTGTAGATTTTCAGTGCAGTGGCGAAATACCCACATAGGATTTTTTTGGAGACATATGTTCAAAATTAATAATTTAGTATATTTAAAGCTGTTTTTTCCTTTGCAAGTGCTTCCTCCTGAGTATTTTCTTTAATTCTATAAGTGTTAAAACTATAATACGTGAGCATGTTGTCTCTATACTGGGACGGTTCTAACTACTGAAGATAAGAGACAGTAATAGATCTGAAGACTAATAGATTATTTTATTCTATTTAAATGAAGACCTTAGAAAAAAATCAGTACAGGTTTATATGGTATATTTTACAGGAACCCTGGTTTTATAAAGTATATACATAAAATAGTAATTTTAGTTTGTAGTTCTTATTTTTATCATTATGTTAGGGTTTTTTTCCTGTTATTTTTGATTTTTACTATTGAGAAATAGTTTTTTAAATCTAAAACACTATAATCTATAATCTTTTCAACAAATCACAAGTCACCGTTGGATCCTCCCATTGGGCAGACCATCTGTTTCAGATAATATAAAAATTCATAGTTAAAGTTTTATGACATATATTATTAGCCATTTGTTAAATAATAAATAACAATTAGGATTATTCTTATTTATTTCTTGTACTAATCATAAACAAATATAAAAAAAATGGTATATATAATAGTATACATAACTAATATTCTACACATGGTCAGGTAGAAAATGCAGACAATTAGTTGATGTAGAAAATTAATATTCTACATGTAAAAAGTATGGTAGAATATATAAAATTTTCTACCTACCCAACCCTGGTTCTATTTAATTTATTTTTAAATAAAATTTTAAATTTTGTTTAAATAGTACGTTAAAATGAAGACAATATTAAAAAAGACTGTTTAATTTCCTAAGTTAATAAAAGCAACAATGGAACTCTCAATTTAGTGACTTTCACCTTTCTTGCCTGTAATTCTTTTGAAATCTCCCATGTTAGTTGTACTGATTGGAGATCCTATAACAGCTAAATGTTCTATTTGTGTTATATCACCTCCTGACTGATTATCCTTTACAAATAATTGAATGTTTTGAACATTTTGGTATTTTACATATCTTAGATTAATTAAATTGTCTTCTAAATCTTCCGGGGACAATCTAGAGTTTAAACAAGATACATAAATACAAATCATTTAATTAAAGTAATTAACCTTACTTCAAATCCTGAACACTTGTATAACTATCAGCTAGATCAAAATCTAATGTTCTTGGTTGATTAATAAATATTCTAATGTTCTTGGGTCCCTTATCAGCAGGTGCTTTAATTTTTAGACTATGAATCTTCACAGCTTGATTAAACGCAATAGAAATAATAAGTTGTTCATCACAATCTGATTGTAAATAACCTCCACCTGAAGTAAGGGCATGAGCTAAAGGATGCTCATCACTTTCATTAAGACATTCACATTGTGCTTTAGTAATAAATGGTGATAAATCCATCTAAAAATAGGTTTTTAAGTTTTTGTAATATGATATTCCAGAAAGCTTTCTTACATGACCTGCTACACCTTCTGAATCTTCTCCTTCCTCAGATCCATAGTATTGCTGAATTTTCGCTTCCAAACCTGGAGGGTCTGCACCTTGCAATCTATCTACTTTAGTCTGAAAACAAAATATGTATAAAAACTGTAAAATTAATGTTATGACTATATATTACTCGATTTCTATAAAATATAAATGTGGGCATAGCAGATACGCCTTGTGCTGCTGCAGTTTCTTGGCACTGATCAACATCGACTTTCAAAAATACAGCTCTTGGGTATTTTGTAGCATACTGTTGAAAAACTGGGGCCATTCTTTGACACGGGCCACACCTATAAGAAAAAGATTGTTTTTTTTTATATCTTAAATAAGTTAATGGGAGCAAAAGAGGACGGGAACTTACCATGTTGCCGTAAAATCAACTACTACGAGTTTGGTACCTGCACTTGCTAATTCGGCTTGAAAGTTTGATTCGTCTGTTACAGCTTTAACAAGACCCATTTTAAAGGTATATAAGTATATTTTCTTTACACAGTTTTAGAAATTCAAACGTTCTAAGAAACGAAGATGACTGACGAAAAATTATTCGAATATAACCTCAAAACTCAAAATTTGCTCAAAAATTAATGACAGTGACAGATGGTGACCATAGAAAAATAAATAAATACCGTTGGACCTTCGTTGGACACTGAAATGTATTTAGATTTACAGATTTCTGTTCCAAATTAGGATTAGTTACGAAATATGCCAAAAAGAGGACGCACAGCGGGAAAAATTGAATTAAAATTATTAAAATGAAAGATTTGAAAATGAATTGAAAGGATTGAATTGAAACTTGACAAAAAATATTTATTATCATCAGATTGATCATTTGGTCAATGAAAGGATGGATCATCAATGATCCTTTCAATAATTTTTATTCAAAGGATCATTTCTTTGTAACACTTTTGAAGTATTTTTTTAATAAACATGATGCATTTCGAAATATATTCAAAATGAAGACGAAGATAGTACCTACCTAAGGTACCTACCGTGTGATCGAGAAAAAACGGCAACAGCGATGGCTATGAAATAAAGATCGCTGTCATTTTATATGTAAATTTATATGGGAAATGTCATCGATCGTCATTTCCCAGCCAACTGGACGCCGTTTTTTTTCGATCATACGGTATATATTTTAGATAATTATAAAACCATTTTAATAATATAATATAAATAATGACAATAATATAATTGACATTTTTTTATTATTTCATCGCCAGCACGAGGAAATAAACTATTCGAAGAAAAAGAAATAAGTCAAAAATATCGTAAATGACTCAAAAAATGATTTGAACATATTATATTAAGCAAAGCAGCTCATTCAAAGTTGTCAGAACAATTCAATATCAATTTGGAAGATTAAAAAGCATTTAAATATCTACGGGAACACGAGTTGATAACCATGTCTATCGAATTTATTGACAAAGAAATTCATGTACCTAAACGTTTTATTGAAAAAATGTGTTAATTTTTTAATATTTATATTATTGATATTTAAAAAAAACAAGAGCCCTAGTCCCTATACCTAGTCATCTGAAGCATGATTGGATTGAGCGACGCTGCCAAACTTTAACAAAATCTGCCGACGACGCCATGTGCAGATTTTGTTAAAGTAAAGAAGAAACAATTAAACACATATTATGCATTGGCGTAACTACAGGGGTGCCCGGGTGTGCCGGCACCCCTGTAGTATGTGAATTATCATTTGATACAAAAGAGCTTTATGGTGGGTTCAGTCTTCAGTCTCGAAGTTATTAGGCGTTTTGAAAAGGATAGGACTGGCGAAATGTAACCTACGTATATGGGGGAGTCTTAAATAAGGACAAATATTTTCAGGGCTTCAAACAAAAGAAAAATATTTTATCGTTTTTCAAATAAGAAAATAACCGAGTTATTTTACTTCAAAAATTTCCAAAAAAATACTTTTTGATTAAATTTTGGATGTTATCACTGGATCTTTTCTCGGTTTTCTTTCTTGTAAATTTAATCTACTACCTATATAATAATATAATATAATATAATACCTATATAATACCATATTATCAAGAAATTATGTTTTTTAACTAAAAACTCAAAAAAGTCAATTTTTTTTTCAAAAAATTACAAATTTTAAAAATTTCCCGAAAATTCGCTAAAATAACCTCATAATCGAGTTTCTGGTGTCGAAATATACCACCCCTAAAAATATTTACAGTTATTTAAGACTCACCCTGTATAGAAATATCAGAAGAGGAGCACAATTAATTGATCAGAAACGGTCGCAGTGGAACAGGCCCTATAGGCATCTTAAAAATATAATCTAATTGTTCTAAGAACCCAGCTCTTTAAATTGGTATCGACTTTTTCAATATACAGGGTTTCAAAGAAATAAGTGCAAATACCGTATGATCGAAAAAAAATGGCGTCCAGTTGGCTAGGAAATGACGATCGATGACATTTCCCATATAATTTTACATATAAAATGACAACGATCTTCATTTCATAGCCATCGTTGACGCCGTTTTTATTCGATCATACGGTATTTTAACTGGTAGTATAGTTCAACCCCAGAAACACGATTATGACGTTTTTTTCGCAAAAACATTTTTTTGAAAATTCGGAATTTTTTGAAAATTTTTTTGGAAATTTTTTTAGTTTTTAGTTAAAAACATAATTTCTTGATAATATGGCAACATAGGTAGTAGATTAAATTTACAAGAAAGAAAATCCAGAAAAGATCCAGTGGTTCCCAAAATTTTTGCAAAAAATCATATTTTTTCGAAATTTTCAAAGTTTTGGACTTATGTGAAAAACGATAGATAGAAAATATGTTTCTTTTATCGAGATCTACCACCCCTTAAAATATTTGCACTTTTTTCTGGGGCACCCTGTATTACAATTACGACGCCAGAGCGTCGAAGGTTTTGTACGGGAAGCCATTTATATATTACACCTGTAATTGGAACGTACCATCAGGAGTACCATTTGACTTGAATATCTATACTCGAAATACCGTATGATCGAAAAAAAGGCGTCCATTTGGCTGGGAAATGACGATCAATGACATTTCCCATATACAATGACAGCGATCTTCATTTCATAGCCATCGCTGACGCCGTTTTTTTTTCGATCATACAGTATTATTACATATTATGTGTTTCCCAAGAGTGTGAATAGTCGTTCCTGGTTTTTTGTTTCACTTTTAAATCTCTTCACGGGTCAACACATTTTTACATATACCAGGGTGTCCAAAAAATAGCGTATCTAACTTCGGTGAGTGATTAAAGCCTGAAAAATAAAACAAAAAGTTCCTATGAACATATACTATATGCCCTAAAATGGTTCCTGAAGAAGTTACAGCCCTAGAGAGAATAAATAAAAATAATATACTTATTTTGTTTATTTTTAAAATATTAATAAACTAATTTTCTTGAAATTTGATTTAACAAAATGTTAAAATGTGTAAAGAAATTATAATTAAATTAATCTCATGATGTCCCTAACTAAAATCTATACGCTTCGTAATCTTTAAACGCAAATATCTTGAAAACGGTTCACCGTTTCGAACTAAACGAAGAGTATTTTTCTTTGTAGAAAAATTCTAGCTTTTTATATAATTTATTGAAATTACTGTATTTTTAAGTATAAAAGAAGTACCGCCAGTAGTACTCTAGCTCTACCCTAATTGAGAGTACCCTTTCAGGGTTGTTACGGAATTTTATACTAGTTGTTTACTTTTATACTAAAAATAAACAAAATATAACGTATTATTTTTATTTACCACTTCGAGGGCTGTAACTTCTGCGGGAAGCATTTTATATAGAAACTTTTTATTTTATTTTTATCTGCAGAATCATCCACCTAAGTTAGATACACTAAATTTTTGACACCCTGTATAATCAATCTTTTGTATTTAACTGATTCGTCCAGGCGTGGAAGCAACAGTTAATTTTTTCTTAAATATATTTTTAATTTATTTCTATCAAGGTATTCAAAAACAATATTTTAATTACTCCGATACTTAAGTATTAACGGCAACGTCGACTTCTGCGCAAGCCTCAATGCAGCTTTTGCTTTCAACCTCGGCGCGGCTCACCGCGACCACGGACCAACGTTCACATACTCGCACAGTCGAAATCACGAAAACGAGCGAGAAGTTGGCGGTGTGCGGCGGTGCGCTTGCTTTCGATTTTCATTTGTTGAACGCGCTGCTTTGACAGCATGTCATAATATCAAAAACGCCGAATTATCGACATATTATCGATTTACATCGACGAAAAAGCGCGCTAATATGGACATCACTCGTACAGGGCCGGGTATTCGTAGATTTTTTCAAATTATAGACGCGCGTACGGTCGTGGTCGCGTAAAAGTTCGATTTTTATGAGGAATAGAGTGTATGCGCCCGTACCTGCTGTGATAAAATTGTTTATTTTAAGCTGGATTTACGACTTTAAATAAGGATTTAGTTAGAATATTTATTACACGATGAAGGTAAGGAATTTCACAGGTTTTGTTTATTTCCGTTTTTCTGCAGATTTTAAATATTTACTTAGTCTTTTTCAAATATAAAAACGTATAAATAGATCTAAGTATCTGTATATTCCTAAACTGAGTGGATAAATGCTTTTTAGGTAATAAAATTTATCTAGTGATATAATAAAAAAAACGATCGAAGCCTAATTTTTAACATTTAATACGATAATTAAAAAAAGCTAAATCGTACACCGAAAATTAATATAGTCTGTCCAATGAGTCAGTTGTGAATTAAAATGACAGACCCAACTGTCACTGTCATGAATCCTCTTCGACAATGTTGGATAAACTATTGCAAACGTACAACTAAATTAGAATTTTCAAGGAGACATCAACAGTCAAGTGGACAAGAAACCTTTTGATACATTTTGTAGTGTAGGCTTAACTAATTATTTTTATTTGTCTTCTAAGACTTGATAGCCAATTAATTTAGTTTAATATTTATTTAGGTTTTTTTATTTATTATTCTATAAAAATTAATTAACATTTAATATTAATGATTTAATTAAAATTATATATACCGGGTGCGTTTCAAAAGTGGCTCACCCCCTATAACTTTTTTATTTTTTCAGATAAAAAAACGAGATTTGGTATGTTATACATAAATTAAGATTGATTCACGTATTCAATTCTTTTCGGCCACTTTCTGTTTCACCGGAAACGACTACAACTTTTGATTTTTAAATGGCACCCTCGGTATTTTTAACTTTATTTCATAAAAAATGATACTCTGAATAGAATGACATATTACATGTCAACTTTTGACAGTTTCACATATCACATCTCACGTATAACGACAATTTGACTTGAAATACCCAGTGTGTGGCACGAAATTATTCGTAAAAAAATGCTTTTTCTAAATATACCTACCAATTAGCCACCCTCGTTCCATTTGAAAAAATTAAGATATGATTAAAAATATATAACTTGGGCCTCTTTTAACCGGCCAGGATAAGACACGTAAAACATTAGACCATCAAATCCATTTTTACAAGGCAAGTTGATTAAAAATTAGTGTTTTTGGGACAGTCATGGCACTTTAGATTGAAAATACATTTTTTTCAGCGAGAATGTCAAAAGTTGACATATGATATGTCATTCTACTTAGAGTGTTTTTCTATCGAATAAAGTAGAAAAATACCGAAGGTACCATTTAAAAATCAAAAGTTGTAGTTATTTCCTGTTAAACAGGAAGTGACCTAAATCAATTGATGACGTCAATCAATCCTAATTTATGTCGTATACTAAAATACCAAATCTATCTCGTTTTTTATCTGAAAAAATAAAGAAGTTATAGGGGCGAGCCACTTTTGAGACGCACCCGGTATATAATAACATAAAGTCCAGCGAGAGACAGTACGATTTCGATAGAAAACATTAAATTATAATGACAGAGAACTGATGTAGTATATTCTCATTTTGAACATACTGTATACATGTTATAATTTGATTTATATGTATAAAACATAACTACATGATTAATTTTGTAACTGGAAAAACCCTTAGCGATGGAGATCCAGGACTAAGTTTCAAAGTGTAATGATTTTTCTACATCTACTGTGCTTTCATTTTTATTCGATCACATAGTACCGTATGCTCGAAAAATAAACCGCGTCAAAGCCGGTTGAAGAATGACAGTCGATGATAATTTTGGTGAGGTCAGTCTCTAGACGTCATTTACTAAAAATTGGCATAAAACTTAACACTCTCATAAAACGATTAAAAAAGGATAGAACGTTTCCAGACACAGAGACATACCAATCTAATTCCACTTTTTTCTTCTCGAATTTTAATCTATACCATTTAAAAGTCATTTTTACTAAGTACAAAAATAAGAAAGCCTTCTTAGGACCATTTGGCAGGAAGCGCCATTAAAAATAAAGAAGAGTACAGGCCAAGTATATGACGTAAGTATGGAGGCTTCTAGCCTGCATAGGCGTAAGGCATTCTTAGTTTAAGGCTTAAAATTATCATCCATTGTCATTCCCCAACCGTCTTTGCCGCCGTTTTTTTCTTGATTATATGGTATGTACTGGAATAATTGTCCAATTGTGTCTTTGAAGGTTATTTACCTGATTGGGGGTAATTCAAAATTAAGGATCTCAATAATTCTTATTTTTTTACTTATTACAAGCATTTCAACAAAAATATGAAAAACGTTTGTGCTTTTGAAACTGGTCTATTACATATTGGACAAGACAAATAGCTTACCTAAATTCTCTTATTATCTGATATAACTTTCACTAGAATAAACAACAACTAAAATGCAGTTACATTTCTGATATAACGATAAATAAATCATAGTTTATTATGAAACAAACCTGTTTATTTAATAAAATTTTATTATATGTAATCGCTTTCTGAACTATTGCTATAATGAATCAAACGACATTAAGGATTAGTAATAATTAGTTTTATTTAATTTGATTGATGTAGAAGTTAGCATTTAGTTGCTCTATATTTTCTTTAATTAATCATTAATACTTAATATAAGTGTTGGAAATCAGTTATAACTATGTAAAGACTGTTCAGCCATCGTTCAACGTTACTTCATCATTATATGTCAGATATGAGTTTTAGGGTGTGTCTGCGATCAGTTCATATTGTTCAGAAAATTTTAAGTACGTTTCTATGTTATTGGTTGAGCCAATTCCTTTTTTTTCAGCATTTTTCTTAACTCTTTTTTTAATCAGTTACGATCTTTTTAATTCCAAGCCTTTGGACTGTTGAAATTACTATTTTCACAGCGTCAGCAACTCCCTATATTATTTAAAAACGCTATCAATTTGTATTTTATATAGGAATATTATATCTTTCCATTGTAATTACTTCATATACGGCATCCACGGACAACAGTGTTCAAAAGGGTATTCCAATAAGAGGTTTCGGATGATGATAGCGAATAAAATAAAAGTTTCATAACATACCTAAAAGTTATTTATGGCAGTGCGTAGCTAGATAGTATACAATTATACTTGAAATACAATATCTGCCAAATGGCCACCACGACTTCTTTGGCAACACACAATTCTTTTGTTGAAATTTTCCATTATTGCTGAACACATTTCTGGAGTTATATCACGAATTATTTGCCTAATTTCTTCTTTCAATTGTTCAACAGTTTGCGGATTGTTTTCGTAAGCTTTGACATTGGTGGCCAATTTACGTCCCCATGCATTCCTGGATATAAGCCTCACACTAAACTGTGTACGCAATAAATTCAGTGTTTCACCTGCTGTATGACATGTCGCACCATCTTATTGGAACCACATATTCTCTATATCCATATCCATTATTTGATTCCATAAAAAAATCAATCAACGTTCGGTATCGTTCTCGGTTTACTGTAACAGCTTGTTCGTTTTCATCTTCAAAAAAATTGGCGCCGGGAGGCACGTATAGCCGCCCATACTAACATATGTTAATAAAAAGTTGGTAGGCAGTTCTTTTAGTTTCAAAGTAAAAGAATTTTTCCAATTTTGGTCCGCGATTATTTTCCCTATCCGCCATCTGGGGTCGCGTCCGATGGGAGTTTGGAGTTCTCCACACGGATTTTCTCAAAAATGGACTACAGAAACACGGAATATCTCAAAAACTGCGACTTTGACTGATTTTGATGTTATTACAAATTTTGTTGCAAATATTATTCCTAATCTTAAATTGAAAACCGCGTTTCGCTAGCTACTGTAATTTTAGAGTTACGATTTTTTAAAATTTTTAACCCCCTCCCATACCCCCTTACGAACCCCCTACCCCCACCAAAAACTAATGGCCAGATTCTCGGGTGCCACAGTATTTTTGTGTCAAATTTGGTTAAAATCAGTTTAGTGGTTTTTGAGTTATCGTGTTACAGACGGACAGACAGACAGACAGACACCATAAAAATATTTTGTATTTAGGTCATTTATGACCCAAATAACTCATTTTGAGTAAAATTAAAAAAAACTTTTTTTTGCCGATCTTAATAGTCTACCATACCTGTTGGTATGGTCGGCCAAAGCAGGGCGCCCATTGAATCGGATCGGATCGGATCGGCACGGAACAGTCCTGTCGGAATGATTTGAAATAAGCAAATACGTTTAAATTACCTATACGGAGGGTACCGCTTAAATTCCTGTCCCGATGTTAAAGGATGGCTATAGAATTTCAATGCGTTTCCTACATAAGTCTATCCTTGTGTGGTAGGAGGTTTGACTAAAGAAGGATGAACCTATGTCTTGAAACCATTCGACTCGTTTTTCTGTCCTCCTTCAATACTGGGACATAAATTCTCTCATTGCTTTTATGAGGAGGCTGCGGTATAGGTAATTTAAACTTATTTGGAAATAAGTAGAAATAGGTTAGAAATCCGCGCACTGCTTCAGGCCCGCTCGGCAACGTCCATCGGTTGGCTTCGGAATCAGTCTTTTTTGGTAGAGAGGCCAAAACATTCCGAAGGTCCGATCAGTTTTCTCGTTGTATTTGATGTAAACAGTGTGTACTACCTTGTAGTTGATTATTTTGTGTGCTATTTATTGTTTACAATGAATAAAGAACTTTTAATTAATACTGTTAGAGAATATCCACACCTCTATGATCTAGCTAGTAAATATTATTATGACAGTTCACGAAAGGAAAATGCTTGGGAAGAAGAAGATGAAGAGCTCATATTATATAAATGATTAAGTATTGTTTATAAAATTTCCGAAGTAAAATAAACTACACGCCACAAAAATTATATTTCGACTGATAAACTAAAGCATACCGATTTGGTGAACGGGTGTTGGACGTTTCCGGACTGAGCGATGCCGTGCCGATCCGATCCGATCCGATTCAATGGGCGCCCTGCTTAAAAATACGGCCCTATGATACCTTCAGCTCAAAAAACGCACCAAACTATGACCACAGTTTAAAGAATATGCTATGACACGTTGAGCATGCATCGGGATTTGCAAACAATCCGCAAACCATTCAAAAACTGAAAGAAGAAATTAGGGGAATAATTCGTAACATAACTCCAGATATGTATCAGCAGCAATGGAAAATTTCCACAAAAGAATTGTGTGCTGCCAGAGTCGTGGGGGCCATTCGGCAGATTGTGTTTCACGTATACTGTCCAGCTACGCACTGCCATAAATAACTTTTAGGTATGTTATGAAACTTTTATTTTATTAAACCTCTTATTGGAATACTCTTAACCAGCGCCTTTTTCTCGAGAAAAATAACTTATATGCTTAGCAATGAGCTCTTGTTCATTTTGGTTAAATCTTTGAGGCATTTTTGTAATAAAAAAATTGAATTTTGTTTTACAGCACTAATCATATTTTAATTTTGACATTGGTCGGTGTCCGTCAAGAAAATTATAACCCCAAATCAAATGAAAATAAAAATTACAATTAAAAAGAATATGCAGTACTTTACAAAATACCGAATGTCACCAATCTCTTTCATCTAGTTGGCAAGGGATTGAGAGAGTTCGACAATATAATATGACGTGACGTTGAACGATGGTCGAACATTCTTTACATGCAATAGACACTATAGCGATATGACAATTAATTTTGGGTTTGTTTACTGTAACAGCCTTGCTTTTTTTATTTCAAATCTATTTAAGTTACAGGATTAAATAAAAATATGATTTGTTCTTACAGAATAAAATCTTGCTTACTTCATCCGAGGTTAAAGACCAATCAAACTTTTTTGCAACGATCGATAGTATTCGATATCAATCAGAAAAAAAAAGAAAGTGGCTCCTTGCCGGTCATTTAGGTCATTTCTGGCCACAGTGCCAGCCTTGGGTAGTGCAAAATAATTGAACATTTCTTACATCACAGTCCATTATGAAGACAATCGAATAATGATGATGCTCATTTATTTTTTTTGTTATCTGAAGCATCTTGACTTGAATTCAAGTGAGAATTTAAGGTTCGGTCGATCAGACAGATAAATTATGCAAATTGAGGGTGATCAAATATTTAGGACAGTCTGTTACATAAAAAGAAATGAAAAAAATATAGAAAGTTGCAAACTTGTATTTATATAAGGAAGAATAACTTAAAAGAAAAATGCTCTTTTATATTGAAATATTTTGTAATAACCTTGGATCAGGATATACCGGGTGCGTCTCAAAAGTGGCTCACCCCTATAACTTTTTAATTTTTTTCAGGTAAAAAAACGAGATTTGCTACATTAGTGTATATGACATAAATCAGGATTGATTGACGTATTCAATTGTTTTTGGTCACTTCCTGTTTCACCGGAAATGACTACAACTTTTGATTTAAAATGACACCTTCGGTATTGTTTTTCTTTATTCGATAGAAAATGACACTCTGGTTAGAATGACATGTCATATGTCAATTTTTGACATTTTCGTATATAGTTTATTTGTGGCAAAATACCAAGTGTATGGTACCAAATTATTCTTAAAAAATGCTTTTTCTAAATATATTATGAACCCAAACCAAACCAAAGCAAACCAAACCTTTGTTCCATTTGAAAAAAATCGGCGCCGGGAGGCACGTATAGCCGCCCATACTAAAATATGTTAATAAAATGTTGGTAGACAGTTCTTTTAGTTTCAATTATCTGAAAAACTGCGACTTTGCGACTGATTTTGATCTTATTACAAATTTTGTTGCAAATATTATTCCTAATCTTAAATTGAAAACCGCGTTTCGCAAGCTACTGTAATTTTGGAGTTACGATTTTTTTAAATTTTTACCAACCCCACACCCCCATCAAAAACTAATAGCCAGATTCTCGGATGCCACAGTATTTTTGTGCTAAATTTGGTTAAAATCGGTTTAGGGGTTTTTGAGTTATCGTGTTACAGACAGACAGACAGACAGACACCATGAAAATATTTTGTATTTAGGTCATTTTTGACCCAAATAACTCATTTTGAGTGAAATTAAAAAAAGTTTTTTTTTGCCGATCTTAATAGCCTACCATACCTGTTGGTATGGTCGGCTAAAAATAAAATATGATTAAAAGTACGATATGGGCATCTTTTAACCGACCAGGGGATAAGACACGAAAAACATTAGACGATCAAATCTATTTTTCCAAGGTTCCTTGATTAAAAATTAATGTTTTTAACACAACTATGGCACTCTAGATTGAAATACGATTTTTTTTTAAGCGAAAATGTCAAAAGTTGAGATATATATGTCATTCTGTTCAGAATGTCATTTTCTATTGAATACAGTCAAAATATACCGAGGGTCACATTTAAAAATCAAAAGTAGTCATTTTCGGTGAAAAGGCCTACTTGATGTCGTATACTAACATACCAAATCTCGTTGTTTTATCTGAAAAAATAAAAAAGTTAAACGGGTGAGCCACTTTTGATACGCACCCGGTATGTAATCTGAAAGTATTATTGTGATAGTGGCTATATTACTACTGTCCTAAAATATTTGAAATTTTTGTTTTTATCTTTAACTCGACTGAAAAATCGCGGGATTGCATACAAAAATCTTGATTTGATAAAGTACTTATTAGTTTTACTGTCGTTGTTTTAATGATAGATAAATATTAATTATAAAAATTATTTATAGTTTATTTCTTATTTACAGGGTGTTTTAAGACTGAATAATTTCCAAATAGCCCTAAACGACTTCATAGCACCGCTGCAATTGACTTTGGCCATTTTAGTACTGGTAAGTTATAATTTTAGAAGAATATATACAATGTTATGTTTGGATAGGGCATTCATATTTACGTAAATGTAAACATATGTGCTGAATTGTATCAACAGTGCTGCATCAACAGTGCTGAAATGCATCAAGTTTAAGTGTACACACGTCCACATTAACCCGATTTCATAATAAATCTATCTGCACTTAATCATTGAATTTCGCTTCCTATAGTATATGGTTCCTATTCAAAAATCCCTCTTGTCCTTACATTTTGGTTACCTATATTATAATGAGAATAAAACGAAGCTTATGGACTAAAAGTGGTTTAACAGACAAAAATTTAGGTACATAAGTTTGCTAAAAAACTGAAGAGTATTGCAATTCGTTACGAATGGACAGTAATAACTTCAATAACTTAAGTATTAAGTGTGATAACTTATTATTAAGTGTGATTATGCCCAAATAAAGAAAAACACAAATTAATCGCGCTCGATACCATCCATATACAATCAGAACAACTGGCAAAAATTGGATGTTGGCGATAAACAGCGACTACTCCTCCAGACTATACAGCGTGGTTAGTCGATTTATAATTATCGAAAAACAAGTCTACAAACCGTCCAATTTTTTCAACCAACCCGACTAAATGGATTGAACCATCCTACCGAGTTGGACCATGTATGGCTAGCAGGTATATACGGAGTTACTGCGACGCCGACGTGTTTCTTACTATCGAGAAATTAACAAACGTTTATATACTATTTTACTTCCAATCACACCACATTAATCAAAAAACACAGGTACAATATTTTATTTTGAAAATGAAGTATTGTAAAAATTCCAAAATTGTAATTTCTTATTTTGCCAACGTTCAAAATCAGCAAAACATCATTAACTTTTGTCAATTTTGAATTTATTGTTTGTCCTTCGAATTTGTATATGAAGAATTTGAATATTTTGAAGAAAGAAACAGTGTGGTCGAAAAAAACGGTGCACAGACGTTTTCAGTTATATAGAGTGCGATACCTGCAGACTTACCATCGAACTATGTGGTAAAAAACTTTACATGTGGGACATCTAAGGTTTTATTATGCCGCCAAAAAGTGATATAAAAATGAAGACAATCAGAAAGTTAGGAAAAAGACGAAGTTACGGAAAAGAGACGACGTTACGACAAAGAAAGTGGTGAAATTAAGAGCCCCAAACAGTCCAATTGTCACTGATAAAACTATAACAATTGCGTCCAAGGCACACTTTATGCATTTTGTAGGGCAGCGGATCCATTGCTTAATCCAAAATAATTTAAATGTATAGGATTGATAAAGTTTATATTAGTTTCTCTATATTTGCTTGAACCGTTTTTCATTTATTCTAGTTTAATCAATGCAACCGGAACAACGAAAAATGCATAGTGGGCCTAAACATTAGTAACAGGCATATCTTAATGCGCGTTTCAATTTGTTGGCTTTTGCCGATCAGCACAGGCCGAAATCCAAAGACGGAGTGATGGAAACTCTTCTATAGGTATAGGCCGATTGGCTTTGAATGCTAACATTATTATATATTTATTTAAAAGTTGGTACATCATAGCGAAGCCGAACCGAACGACTTTTTTATCGAAGGAATAACCTCTTAAAATTGAATACTTTCAGCTTCTTGGCATTACCAAGAATGGCAAAAAGCTGATCGGCATTAGATAGATCGGCCTGACAGATAAGCAAAAACTGAAAAATGGAAACTTAAATGAACCAAAATAATTCTAAAACGGTTCAGACAAATATAGGACAAACTATAGTATGTATATGTTTGCAATCGAAAGAAAGACCTCTCAAAAAACATGAAATATACAGGTTGTTCTATATATCTCTAAATAAAAGTGAAAATATATTATTTTCTTAACTTTCTGATCGTCTGTCATCATCATCATCCTTATCATTTTCAGCTTATTCAACCATTTTCAATTATGATGTAGCCTCCCTCACATATTCAGATACTCTCTTTGTAGTTGAGCTCATTCTTGTCTATTGTTCGGTTTGCGGTCCCAACTTATACCTGCTAATTTCCTAATATCATGGTCCCATCTCAGGTTTGGTTTCCTTTTAGGTCTTTAATTCTTTGTGAGTTCCATGCTGTAATTTTTGTGGTCCATCTGTTGTCCGTCCTTCATGCCAGGTGTTCTGCCCATTGCCGCTTGAGGGATTTTATTCTGTGGATGGACATCTATATCTATTCCCTTATAGGTTTCGCATGCATAGGTTATTACTGCTAGATGATAATGGTTGTCTGTAGTTTTATTTTACTTTCTCGCGGTTCAGATAAAACTCCTTTATTTAAAGTTTTCTTACCACTTCCAATAGGTAATTTTGCAGGAATCACGCTAAATATTTATGAAAACCCTAGGGAGTTGGCTTCGAAATGACATTTTTCATATGACATTCTTCATAAAAATTTACAAATAAAATAACAGCGACAAAGACAGCTGGGAAATGACAGTACCTAATACTTGTTAAAATTAACACGAGTTATAGAGAGATTAAAAAAGGATGTGTGTAAACGTTAGACATACATAAATCGATAGATAAAATATATTTACAAGAAAATATATATTTTTTAAAATTTTAAACTACACCATTTACTCGATATACCTACTTTTACTCGATATAACCTTCTACCAAACCAACTGGTAGTGAACGCTATTAAAAAATAAAGAAGAGTTTGGGCCAAGTAATGACGTTTTTTATTCGATCATATGGTACTTCTACCAAGAACTACATAAACCGTAGGCAGATCGACAAAATGACAGGATAAAAAAATACAGAAGCATTGTTAAAGGCTCTTATAAGGAGACAGCCTTGAGCCAACCATTGAGAGAGACATTTCATTTCGCAGACTCGCGAAAACGGCGAGCGCTACGATGACGTAATAGATCCTGGTCGCCTTGACTACGGTAAATTCACCAGCCGTGGGTCGATGGTACCCCGCCCTCGCGTACGGGGGACAGTACCAAACTTACCAGGAACCACCTAATAATTTTAGTCACAAACACCTTGGTTTATGGCGGCGTTTAAATTGAATCAGAATTTATATGAATTCGTAAGAAGTTTTTATAAAAATCCAAATGCATATACAGGGTGTCCCAATATTCCGTAGACGTAGAACTACTACGTGTTTTTAGAATCAAAATAAGTTCATTGGACACAATTTACCTCTGTACAAAATGCTTCGTTTGTCCGCTAGAGGGCATCAGCTTTAAAAAATAAACACATTTTAGAAAGATATTTTAAGAACCATTACTCCGATTTGAATAAGATTTTGGGTAACTATGTTTTACTAAGGGCTTTAACATTTGACTTTCACAAAATTCAAGAAAAAGTACGGGAATAGTGAAAACCACCCCTGCATAAATTTTAGTAGAAATATTTTTTAACCCCACCGATCTTCGTAAATGGTCTCTCTAGTATTTACTATATTTTTTGCATCTTGTAAAAAAACGCCACATCGCATAGTTTTTGATTTGGTTCATAACTTTTTCTCCAGAGCAGACCTACAAAATATACAAGGCGTTTGAATATTCCGTGGGCACAGAACAACTACGTATTTTTTGAACTAAAATAAGTTAATTGCACATAATTTACCTTTATACAAAAGTGCTTCGTTTGTCCATTATAGGGCATCGATCAAAAGTAAACTTCAACGTTGATTAATTTAAAATTTATTATTTTTGAGGTTTTTTAAGAAGCTTGTTGTCAAATATAATTTGTAATACTAACATAAAATGCTATATTTCCGCCACCTAGATGATTAGAGCATAATAGATTGTTTGAGCCTTCATAGCTTGATGTGACAAAAACTATATATCATTCACCCTATAAATATCATTCACATTTTTTAAAGTGATTCTTTATTTTTGAGTCTAAATGCTTAAACTATTTACAAAAATAGAATTAGTATGTAATATCGTGGAGAGATAAATAACAAAAGTATGTATAATAAACTATATTATACAGGGTGGTCCAAACTAGCGATGGGAACTATCGAATGAATTAGACTATCGAATGGTTACTGAATGAATGATTTCAACTATCGAATGGTTTTATTCGAATAAAATCATCATTCATTTGTATACTAAAGCATATGTGACAACCTCGCCGTGCGACTAAATGGTTATCGTTGAGCCACGACTATCGAATGCTTTTGATAAATGAAATTTAGTATTCGTTTGATTTTTGTGTGCGTGAGTGCATTATTAGTTCTTCCAAATTTTTATAACTTCGCCTTATAAATACTGTGAGTAATAACTTTTCGTCCGTACATGGTAAAAACTACTGAGCAAAAAATATACATTTCCGCCCTTCTAAATTCTCACATTTGGAATGGAAATAGTCAATACATTTCATTATTGATAAAAAAATAAACATCTGTTGACTAGATAGTTATTTGACTGAAATGATAAATTTGGAAACTTTTTATTTCTTTTAAATTAACCATTCCGTTTTTTTTCTATTAGATATTATGATAAAACACTTTCTGTTAAAACTTTGGCACAAAACATGTATAATTTTTATCAATGATTACATGCATTGGCTATTTCGATTCCAAATACCATATGATCGAAAAAAAACGGCGTCCAATTGGCTTGGAAATGACGATCGGTGACATTCCCCATATAATTTTACATATAAAATGACAGCTATCTTTATTTCATAGCCATCGCTGGCGTCGTTTTTTTCGATCAGACGGTATTTATCTTGAGAAGAATTACTTGTAGTCGATTTTTGATAAGAGACCTTTTTTTACGTAAAATACCGCATAAACGTATATCACAATACAATGTAATATTACAGGGAAAAATATGAGTTAGAAAATAGTAGTATTGTTACACCATTATTATACTATATACCGGGTGCGTCTCAAAAGTGACTCACCCCTATAACTTTTTTATTTTTTTAGATAAAAAATCGAGATTTGGTATGTTAGTATATGACATAAATTAGGATTGATTGACGTATTCAATTGTTTTTGGTCACTTTCTTTTTCACCGGAAATGACTACAACTTTTGATTTTTAAATAACACCCTCGCTATTTTTTTACTTTATTTGATAGAAAATGACATTCCGAATAGAAATGACATATCATATGTCAACTTTTGACATTCTTGCTTAATAAAATATCGTATTTTAAATTTCAATCTAGGGTGCCATAGCTGTATTAGAAATACTAATTCTTAATCAAGAAGCCTTGGAAAAATAGATTTGATCGTCTAATGTTTTTAGTGTCTTGTTCTGGCCGATTAAAAAATGTCCAAATCGTATTTTTAATCATATCTTATTTTTTTCAAATGGAACGAGGGTGGCTCATTAGCATATTTGGAAAAAGCATTTTTTTACGAATAATTTGATACCACACACTTGGTATTTCGACTCAAATTTTGGTTACGAACCGCAAGTTATAATTTCAATTAAACCATATGCGAAAATGTCAAAAGTTAATTTATGATATGTCATTCTATTCAGAGTGTTGTTTTCTATCGAATAAAGTAAAAAAAAATACCGAGGGTGCCATTTAAAAATCAAAAGTGGTAATAATTTCCGGTAAAACAGGAAGTGACCAAAAACAATTGAATACGTCAATCAATCCTAATTTATGTCATATACTAACATACTAAATCTAGTTTTTTCACAGAAAAAAATAAAAAAGTTATAGGGGTGAGCCACTTTTGAGAGGCACTCGGTATATATATTTAGCTACTGATTTTCCGTTTTAATTTAGTAGTGTTGATAGTTATTCTGCAAAATTAATAGGGCCTAGAAAGAAGGATAATGTGTTGATTACCTATTTGTTCGCCATTGTATTCTTCTTTTGGTTTTAAACGTTTTCAAAATTCTAATTTTTCTCAAGAATAATATGAAATATCAATAAATTCAGAACATAATAACAACTGATTGATTTGCCAACCTATTTTCTTTGCGCTAATAATTTCACTCTTCTTTTCTGCTTCTGGTGAAAATTTTGGTTTTTCGTAAAAATATTCGCTAAATATTATTTTATTTAAATTGATTAATTAAGAAAATTATAAAAATAGTAATACGGGTTTATTTTCAATTTTTAGGTATCACCGTCGAGGACTGCCAATTTACCGTCAGATATAGGTAAGCTTTTTAATTTTAAATTATAAAAAATATAATTTAGTAAAATAATAATCTATACTACCTAGTAACCCAGTACATCTACCCAGCACAAACAAATAATTATTATTGTATTATTGTATGAGCAGTTTAAGGAAGCCTTTCTGATTTACACTATCACATCTATACAGTTCTTAGAAATGTCACCAACCCAAAATGATTAATATTAAAAACCAATTTTAATATTAAATAAACCTAACCATGCATACTTACACTAATGCAAAGGTCAGACTTGGTTTTTAGAAATGTTAAATGCCATCAGTCCCTATGAACAATACCAGAAACTATATGTTGAATAATTAATTAGAATATACTTACAAGGCAATAGATGATAAAGTAATATAATAAAATTAAGAGAATATTATCCATATACCCTATTCTTTCTATTTAATTAACTGTTATTTACTAAATCATAATTAACTTAGTCCATTGAATTCTTTTGTTCTCTTTATGACACCAGCTGTATTATATAAGGTGCCCAATATGGTATAACCGTTGCTTTTGGCTATCTACTTGGTATTCCAGGATAGTATACATTCCTTTTTAATATTTAATTAGCGTAATTATGTTTGCACGAAACGTAGGAAAGAACATGTCCTTATAACAGTTCAGAATAGTTCAGTAATAAATTTTAAAGATTTAATTTCATTTTAGCTTCTTCTCCAAAGTTTTTAATTTGTTGAACATTTGAGGTCTGAACCGCCTGAAAGTCAAATGAAATTACTCAAAAGATCACCAGAAAGTTAAACAAAAACTTAATGAACTGCAGTCTTCTGAAAAAAATAAACTTCAGTTTTTTATTGGAATACCCTGTTTATTTAGGGTGCACCTAAAAAAGTTTTTTTGGTGTTTTTTTAACCCATTTAAATAAAACGGGGAACTAATATTTTTTTCTTTGGAATTTTATTGCGTTCTAACAAATCAGCGTTTTGTACAAATCAATACATATTGTTGTAGGAAATTAAACGGGCTTTAAAAAATGTCTGATATGAATTATCATTTAATCGACGCTTTTGAAAGTTATTGAAGGTTAAAGTTTAATTTCAAATCGTATATGATACCTTCCACAATTTTTTATATTTTATCACGAAATTTGGCTCAAAAAGAGTTTTAAGTTATTATTTCGTGATAAAATAAAGTAAAATAAGTAAAGTTTATGTTTATGAGCCAATATTTCGTGATAAAATTTTAAAAATTGTGGAAGTTCATATACGATTTAAAGGTTTGAATTTTAACCTTCAATAACTTTCAAAGTAGTCAATTAAATGAAAATTCATATCAGACCTTTTTTAAAGACCGTTTAATTTCCTATAAGAATATATATCGATTTTTACAAAACGCTGATTTGTTAGAACTCAATAAAATTTAAAACAGAATTTGCTTCCCCATGTTATTTAAATGGGAAATAGAAAATCACGATGAGGCACCTCTTAATGAATATTATATTAAAATCTCAGTGTCTTTACCATAATTTTTATTTATCATCCTGAACGATATTTTCACGGTAAATAAAAAGAAAAAAAATATATTTTGGTGCACCCTACTGTATATTTAAGTTTCTTGTGTCTGCAAGTTTTTAAGTCTACAAGTATCGCACTAAATATATCTGAAAACCAGGTACAAAAATTATTATTTTAAATATTTATCTATGCATACAGTTACATTGACAATGACAGTTACTAAAAGGAAATTTTGACATTGATCGATGTCCGTCAATAAAATTATAATCCCAAATCAAATGACAATGACAATCACAATTATCAATTTAATCCCTTTCATCTGGTTGGCAAGTGACAATATATGACGTGACGTTGAACGATGGTTGAACATTCTACAGGGTGTTTCAAAAAACATGTGCCATCTCTCGTGGGGAGATTCCTCACGTAAAAATAAGATTTATTTTTCATATAAACATAGGTCCGATTCTACTTTGTTTCGTAGCTACAGGGTATTAAAGTCTTAATAATCTTTCGATTTATTATAATTTTCTTCCAAATACTTTTAGTGATTCGAATGAAATTTTGAGGGTAAAAGTTACTATAAGTGCTATATATTTTAATGCTCGTATCGATAAATTGATCAGGGACGTGCATATGGGTTATCACTGGAATATTTTTCAAAAAAAAACATGTGCGCCACTGATTTTTTTCTTTGGATATCACAATTGTGTAGGCCGTTTAATGCCAATTAAAAGTTATTTCTCAATATTTTGTCAAATTCGGCCTCCTTGATGAGATAAGCGCAATTTTATTAATCACAATTAATAAAATTAAAATAAAAATAAAATTAATAAATTATATATTTTACCTAATTTATTATTAAATATTATTACTATTAGTTATTATTACTATTAGTCCAACCTAGGGCAATTTCAAATAAAAAAATAACGGTATTTGAGATAAATACAAAAAAACTCTGTTACAAAAATTATTTTTTTAAATATTTATCTATGCATACAATTACATTGACAATGACAGTTACTAAAAGGAAATTTTGACATTGATCGATGTCCGTCAATAAAATTATAATCCCAAATCAAATGACAATGACAATCACAATTATCAATTTAATCCCTTTCATCTGGTTGGCAAGTGACAATATATGACGTGACGTTGAACGATGGTTGAACATTCTACAGGGTGTTTCAAAAAACATGTGCTATCTCTCGTGGGGAGATTCCTCACGTAAAAATAAGATTTATTTTTCATATAAACATAGGTCCGATTCTGCTTTGTTTCGTAGCTACAGGGTGTTAAAGTCTTAATAATCTTTCGATTTATTATAATTTTCTTCCAAATACTTTTAGTGATTCGAATGAAATTTTGAGGGTAAAAGTTACTATAAGTGCTATATATTTTAATGCTAAAAAGGTATCGATAAATTCATCAGGGACGTGCATATGGGTTATCACTGGAATATTTTCCAAAAAAAGCATGTGCGCCACTTTTTTCTTTGGATATCAGAATTGTGTCGGCCGTTTAATGCCAATTAAAAGTTATTTCTCAATATTTTGTCAAATTCGGCCTCCTTGATGAGATAAGCGCAATTTTATTAATCACAATTAATAAAATTAAAATAAAAATAAAATTAATAAATTATATATTTTACCTAATTTATTATTAAATATTATTACTATTAGTTATTATTACTATTAGTCCAACCTAGGGCAATTTCAAATAAAAAATAACGGTATTTGAGATAAATACAAAAAACTCTGTTACAAAAATTATTTTTTTAAATATTTATCTATGCATACAATTACATTGACAATGACAGTTACTAAAAGGAAATTTTGACATTGATCGATGTCCGTCAATAAAATTATAATCCCAAATCAAATGACAATGACAATCACAATTATCAATTTAATCCCTTTCATCTGGTTGGCAAGTGACAATATATGACGTGACGTTGAACGATGGTTGAACATTCTACAGGGTGTTTCAAAAACATGTGCTATCTCTCGTGGGGAGATTCCTCACGTAAAAATAAGATTTATTTTTCATATAAACATAGGTCCGATTCTGCTTTGTTTCGTAGCTACAGGGTGTTAAAGTCTTAATAATCTTTCGATTTATTATAATTTTCTTCCAAATACTTTTAGTGATTCGAATGAAATTTTGAGGGTAAAAGTTACTATAAGTGCTATATATTTTAATGCTAAAAAGGTATCGATAAATTCATCAGGGACGTGCATATGGGTTATCACTGGAATATTTTCCAAAAAAAGCATGTGCGCCACTTTTTTCTTTGGATATCAGAATTGTGTAGGCCGTTTAATGCCAATTAAAAGTTATTTCTCAATATTTTGTCAAATTCGGCCTCCTTGATGAGATAAGCGCAATTTTATTAATCACAATTAATAAAATTAAAATAAAAATAAAATTAATAAATTATATATTTTACCTAATTTATTATTAAATATTATTACTATTAGTTATTATTACTATTAGTCCAACCTAGGGCAATTTCAAATAAAAAAAAACGGCATTTAATATGATTACAAAAAAGTAAAAAAACCTAATTTTAAAAAGTTTTAACATCCTGTAACTCTAAAACTATGCAATTCCATACCCATATTTATAGCAACTTTTTTTAATATTTTTTGATGAGGAATCAATCAGTACTTATTTAAAACTCTCGCAAGTTAATGATATTAAATTTTTTGAAGGTTGCTATTAGACTTGGATACAGGCAAATTAATAAATTTGCGTTGATCTCATCAATTAGGCCGAAATCGACAAAATATTAAGAGACAACTTTTAATCGGCATTAAACTGCTTACACTATTTCGCTAACAAGAGAAAAAAAAGTCAGTGGCGTACATGCTTTTTTTAGAAAAATATTCCAGTACCTAATCACCCATATGCACGTCCCTGGTGAATATGTCGACACTTTTTTAACTTTAAAATATGTCGCATTCATAGTAACTTTTACCCTCAAAATTTCATTCGAAACACTAAAAGTACTTGGAAGAAAATTATAATAAATCAAAAAAAATATTAAGATTTTAACGCCCTGTAGCTACGAAACAAAGCAGAATCGGGCCTATGTTGATATGAAAAATTAGTCTTATTTTTACGTTAGGAATCTTCCCACGAGAGATGGCACATTTTTTTTGAAACACCCTGTATAATATATCATATATCTAATGTAGATAAATTTGAATTTCTTACTTGAAAGAAATGAAGCCAAACCATTTCTTGTGATGTATTTATATCTTTTCATTTAGATCATATTTTACATATATTTTAATTACTGTATAATTCTTCACACAGCTTTGATTATTTCCTCTTGACTTAATTCCTTAATGATTTTAGAATAATGTATCGTGGAAATAATCTTTAAACCAAGTTAATATTCTTGCACATGTGTGAGAAACGGATGAACTCTGTTTGAATTCTGACTATTTGCAGGAAAACTAGTTTTGAAGTGGCTGATTAATTACTTTATTTAATTACGAT